AAAATTAGAAAATGTTATCGAAACGACTTAATTATTATTGATAGGCAACAATAATACTATATGTTAATCAATAATTATGTTAATTAAATTGAATCATTCATAAAAAATAATGTCAGCGTCAGAACAAGGAAGCTTGTTGATTCAAATGCGTAAAAATATAAGGGAAAAATAAAAAATTAAGGTTAAATTTATTTTAAATGCATTTAAATTAAATTAACAAATAGGTAGTTCAGCATTTTTAACAAATCTCAATTTAACCAAAATTGCATAATCTTGATACATTACTATATACAGGGTGTCCCATGAGGATATACCCATAAATCGTAAAGGAATTCTCGCCACCTGGATAAATAACAATTTTTTGCCATTTTATCTATGAACTAAAAATAATATTAAAAGCCATGTGATTAATGAAAATAAAATGTTGATAGGTCAACATTTTCAGCAAAATAAACTGTATAGAATAGATATCATTATTTTTTTCAAAACTAAAATACTAAAAAATAATATTTTAACTTTTTTACCAACAAAATGAATACATGTAGCCCTTGTCTATGTGAGTCTTACAAAAAAAGCAGATTTATGATATGTTTATTATCTATCTCAGGAGATATTGCAATGGATAAATCGGACTAAATCCTAGCGGGACACCTTGTGCAAAAAGAATTGCATTCAAAAAATTATTGATTTTCAATTTAATCCAAATATCATAATTAACTAAAGCTTTATATTACCTATTAAATTTATATATTCATTCATAATTTTTTCATATTTTATTGACAGTAAAAAAATKAATTTAACATTAACTTGTAAAACAAATATTTTTGAACAATACTATTTCTCTGACTATTTCACTTAGCAGTTATTTTTGCTATAAGATATATTGAAGTCTTATTGTTGATGATATTAATTTTTGTCTTCATTAAAGCATGATAATAGTGTGTTGTTGCATTGGTGATTTTGTTATAACTATTATGAGTATTATAAGTTTGGAACTGTTAAAATTATTGTTATTGTTAGATTTCAAACATTTAGTATTTAGTTCAACTAGAATTTAATTTATTTTTTTTTCATTAAAATATAATATACAATCTATAGATTAGTTTTCTACTATAAGARTATGAGATATATTAAGTTTGATATGAATTACTTGATAAAAGGAGTAACCCAACGACTACACTTTACATTGATTTAATATTGCTATGTTAGATATTTTTTATTRAGATTAAGAGTAGGTCATGACACCATCTTCTCTTAAACCTTCTTTGGGGATTCCCAGGTATTGTTTCTGAGTTAAGTGTTGAGATTAGCKGRTTGAGGTAATGAGGTGGTTCTYTAGTCGTGAATGATAGCGTTTATGTATAATTGACAACATTTCTGATACAGTTTTAATGTGTAGGTCTGTRTAGAACCTGTAACCTGTAACCTGAAAGAATTTAATTAAAACAAAATTAATTGGGTTGTATAAAGCCCATCATAAGTTCATTATTATATACCTAATTATATATTAGTATAATTTATATACAATTTAAGGTTCTAATTACAAAAATTATTGAAATAAMTATATTATTTTATATTATTCACATTACTTAAATTCAAGATTTTTATGCAATCGAAATGTCTTATAGACAATGGCGTCATTTCTGTTTTCAATAGAAAATAATCTTGTATATCCAGCCTGAATACTTAATTATGTTAGTAAGAACTTGTATACGAACGATGTAATTATATTTAAAAATCCAGTGGTGTCGAGACTATAAGTACTTGAGAAATAATTTAACAATTTAAAGTCTTGAAACATATACATTATACGGATCATAGACAATGACAAAAACTCGAATCACTTGGAAAAAAATGGTGTGGGACGCTTTGTATTTGTTTTTATTATGATGTTAATCTACTATTAATAATAATTAATAACTGTAATTTATCGCTTGTATTATTMTTGTCTTATGATATATGACTCAATGACGGTGTGATAGACGAGAGTAATAATACAATATGGTAATATTGGTATTTTATACGAGTATGTCATTTGTTATTTTGTTAATTACGAATATTTTAATATATAAGTASGTTTRATTCGACAACATTGCACATAGTGCCTTCCACCATACCGCACTACTGCACCAAGGTGGCACTGGTACAGTTCACTGATATACCAGCTGATATATAAAGGTAATAAAATATTTAATGGGTATTGTGGTACTTATCATTGCACTGGATGCAAAAAACTGGCGTAGTGCATTGAGATGAAACATTAAAAAGTCCACTTGGTGCACATTAATCTTGTCGATGGAACATAAAAATATGCTCTGATGCAGTCATTGCAGTGTGGTGGAAAACGGTTGTAAATATTTGTACGATACCATAATGTTATAATGTTATCACATTCAGCCTGTTCCTTTCAGTAT